GCAGACACCCACTCCGTCACTCGTTCCCCCCCCGGCCTTCGATGTTGTCTGCGACTGGGCCTGTGGCCAGGTCGCCTCGGTTCATGGGGCCTCTGTCACTCAGGCCTCGTCAAAATTATACGTCGACTGTACGAATTAGGAGGACAGCGAAAGTGGAAGACAACCTTGACGCGGAATGTAATTGTGTCTTTGGTGAGTAGATAGTGGATGACAAGAAAAACACTAAATTTTTACAGACTGGGAGCTGAGCCCACATACCCCTTTTGAGAGGAGTCGATTTACTTGGATTTACTTTAGCACACGTCCAAGGCAGCGTCTGTCTTCCCGAGCTGAAGAGAGTAGGAGGCCTCCTCCTTCTTATTACACTGCTTTGGTAGCTTTAGTCAGGTTTGCGGGGGGAGGAGGAGGGCTCTGCGGTGCGTCGCCTGGCGGCGGTGCTCTGTAGGTTCGCAGAAAGCAGGCACCTCTGCCTCTCCTGCTCTCGCTCCACCGTGGGATGGTCTTGACAGCGTGCGTGTCGCGGCTCTAGCGCGTCATTCTATTGTACATGAAGCTTAAAATCAGTAATCTAGCGATCGAAAAAGGCAGATTTTCTTTGTAGGTATCCTAAGGTTTGGGTGTGCTTGTCTCAGGACGTCTGTCCTCGAAAGATAGGTCTCGATGGTCTCAGGACGTCTGTCCTTCGAAGATAAGATCTACGATGTCTCAGGACGTTGTCCTCGAAAGATAGATTCTCGATGTCTCAGGACGTCTGTCCCTCGAAAGAATAGATCTCGGATGTTCAGGACGTCGTGCTGTATAGTAGGCGGTCTAGGACTTGTCTGTCCTGTGATTGTATCTCGACGTTCTCGGGACGTCTGTGTGTAGGTCCGATGTCTCTGGCGAGTGTATTGTGTGTCTCGATTGTGTGTGACGCTGTCCTCGAAAAGATAGCATCTCGGTGGTCGTCTGTCCTCTGAAAGATAGATCTGGTTCGGACGTTGTCTTTGAAAGTTAGATCTCGATAGTCTTCAGGAGTCTGGTCTCGATGATAGATACCTCGCATGTCTCGGACGTTCTGTTCCTCGAAAGTATAGTTCTCGATTCTCACGGACGTCTGTCTATCGAAAAAAGATAGGTCTGATGTCTCAGACACGTCTCGTCGTCGAAAGATGAGATCTCGACGTCTCGGACGTCTGTCGTCGAAGAAGATAGGTATCTCCGATGTCTCAGGAACGTCTGTCATCGAAAGATAAGAAGTCATCGAATGTCTCGGGACGTCTTGGTCCTCGAAAGATAGGATGTATCGATTCTCGGACGTCTGTCCTAGAAAGATAGGTCTCGCATGTCTCAGGACGTCTGGTCGTCGAAGACAGCTCATTACACTGCGGGACGTCTGTCCTGAAAGATAGATCTGATGTCTCGGGACGTCTGGTCTCGAAAGGATAGATCTCGATGTCTACAGGCGTCTGTACTCGAAAGTATATGATCTCGATAGTCTCGGACGTCTGTCTCAAAGAATAGGCGTCTCAGTCTCAGGGTACGTCTAGTCACATCAGAACCAGATAGGTCTTCGATGTCATCAGGACGTCTGTCGTCGAAAGGATAAACTCGACGTCTCAGGGACGTCTGTAACGTCGAAAGATAGGTCTCGATGTCACTCGGACGGTTCTGTCATCGAAAGATAGAGTCTCGGCATTGTCTCGACGTCTGTCCTCGAAGATAGATCTCTTCCGGTAACAATCTTGATTCTGATTGGCCAGAAGACTCGAAAAAACATCAGCAAAGATGTTTTATTGAGAAGATGATCACTACGTGACAGAAGTTTTCCAAACCGTTTATGGTCTCCGGTTCTTCCAGTCCAACGCCTACTGCATGCTCAGCGTTAGAAAATCGGGACTTCAAAATAAAATGTTGACTTTTTTCCACCAAAAAAAAACAAAACAAATTCTATTTATTTTTTCTTCACTCTCACATCTGCGACCCACTCGAAGTGGGTCCGCAAGCCACTTTCGGGTCGCGACCCACCAGTTGAGAGCCACTGTGTTAGCGGACAGTCTGTTAGAGGACAGTGTTAAAGTGAGTCCATGTTCTGATGAACAGACCTGGACAGCTTCTTGGCTTCGGCGGTTGTTCTGGATGGTGCCGTGATGTCAGAGTTCTGGGAGGCCCGGTCGGTCTCGGCCCGGTCGGTCTCGGCCCGGTCTGTCTCGGTACCTTCGTTGTCCGAGGCCTCGCCCAGGCGTGCCCGGCGCAACATGGAGGCTCGGGTCGGCCGCGGCGCTGACAGGCTGTTGGACCGCATCAGAACCTGCTGCGTTGCTGCCTTGGACGTCTTTACGCTATCTTCTTTCTGAGGATGGCCGAGGAGTTTCTTGCTGCGGCTGGACGGGCGGGAGACTTCATGGTCAGACGAGGTTGTTTCGGTCCAGTGTGGCCCCTGCTGGCCCTCGGACAGGTCCAGAGAGCCGCGGTTTCCCGCGCAGCGGCGCATCTGGAACCTCTTTGCCGCCTCTGCCTTGCTCGATGGTTCCGAGGTCGTCTGGCTCCGGCGTTTCTCAGAAAGCCGTTCGCGGGCAGAGAGTTGCCGTGCCTTGTGTTGGACGGACTGGCTGGAGCTGGACCTGTCTTTCTGGACGCTGCTGAGGGCGGGACGCTTTTTGGAGGTGGAGCGAACCGGAGCGTTTTTGCTGCTCACCTGGCTCACGGTGCTCGCTGTGTCCACGTCCGACTCCCCGGACAGGGAGTCGTCCATGTGGGTGGACGAGCCTCCTTTCTTGGAGCTACGAGCCGAGCCGGACGAGGGGAACTTTGAATCCAGAGGGGTCAGGGTTCCCTCGGCCTCCTGCAGGAAGGACTGCGAGTCCTGGATGTTGTCCCTCCGCTGCTCCATGTCCCTGATGGAGGGCTGGCTGGAGATGTGGGGAAGCCTCTTAGTCTGAACGGTGTCGCCGGGCTGCTCTTTGGTGAAGCTCTCCTGCCGGACTATGGAGGACATGCCGCTGTCTCTGGTGGGTACCGAGTCCTGCATTTGGAGGTTTGGAGCAGAGCTGTTGGGTTTGACACCCGTCCTCCTGGGTTCGTGTCCACTCAGGTGTCGGATCAGGACGGTGGTAGGGGGGTGCTTTACCGGGCATCGGGCCTGGTCGGGTTTGCCCGGGCTGCCTCCAGAACCGATGTAGAAGGAGGTGGATTTGGTTGTAGGAGGACCGGCTGGAGACAAAGTTCCCATCCTGGTCTGATTCTTCTTGGTGTCCTCCAGAACAGGCCAGTCATCTGAGCGGCTGGCATCACTCAGGCTGTCAGGATCCACATCATCCTGAACCGTGAGGCGCTGGGTGGAGTCCTGTGGGCGGGAAGGACCCAAGATCTTGTCCAGGGGTTCCTGACCTTGGTATGATTCATGGCGAATCAGGATACTCGGAGGAACACTTTCCAGTTTTTCTGGTGGAACCTGGGGCAGCAGCCTTCGGGTCCTGGAGCTGTGGCTGGACTCCGACTCAGAGTTATCGTAGCTGTGAGGTCCTGTAGACCGGCTCATGATGCGCAGATCTACAAAAACAAATTGGGTTATCTTCGTTTGTCACATGTCTCAGGGCCAATGAGAGTGTTGCCTGCTTTATTTCAAGCCTGCGATTTAAAAAAGAGGCAACCGCCAAACGTCATCTAACCACAAACCACACATGATCTGGCATAAAGAGTTTCATGTATTCATTAAAGAAATCAACTTGGAAAGTGGGGCCCTCCTACACATAAGCAGCAAGGCTTCTCTGTAATTGAACAAATACAGGAGGCTGCCTGAGGATGCCTCAAAGTCCTTCCATCATCTGATCCTCACAGGAGCCAGTATTGTGCTCTTCAGGTTCAGCGTTATCATCATCAGGGAATGAAATTAGCCCCTGGTAGTTAGGGTGCGTTCACCTAAGCTACATTTGTTGTTGCTAATGTTGTTGTTGTTGTTGGTATCTACAAGGAGATAAGCCCTGCAGGTAAGGCAATGTTAAGCCTTGCTTCCTGTGTGAACGCAGCTTTACAGAGTAGATGTTGGCAGGAAAAAACACCTGCCACCATCTGCCCTTTAGGAACAAATATTATTTTTAAAATAACTATTACTAATTGAATTAAGGTCAGGGGTTGGGGCCGTACTGTATATTGTAAACTTCTACTGTATAGTACCACTGCCAGAGCGGCATGCCAGGAACACTTCAAGCAGTGTCTAAACTGTAACTCAGATCTGACTGATGCCCAGCTCTCAGATCCACACCCGAACAGCACGTTCTGATGGAGTACACTGACCTTCCAAACAATCGCCTTGAGGTAGAGTTGAACCGGGTTCAGCATGGCTATCGGCCAGGCTTGCCCAACGGGAAACCCATTTGGGTCCTTCCAGACCGGCTGCAGGAGCAGGGGGAACCTAGACCGCAGAAACACACAAAGATCGGCATTACAAGAACAAGGTCAGGTGGGACCACAGGTCACACTTCACAGAGAGAGGGCGAGTGTCCATACAGCGTCCTCTGAGCAGATGATCATCTCTTATTGCACGGCTTTTCAGAGGTTGTTTAGACGCGATAACACAATGCTGCTAAAGACAATAATGCTTGATGCTGGACGTCAGAGAAATCAACAAAGGAAGTAAAGACTAACAGGAACACTAGAAGCAGACAGACAGGAAGTAAAGACTAACAGGAACACTACAAGCAGACAGACAGGAAGTAAAGACTAACAGGAACACCAGAAGCAGANTCCGGCAACAATCTTGATTCTGATTGGCCAGAAGACTCGAAAAAACATCAGCAAAGATGTTTTATTGAGAAGATGATCACTACGTGACAGAAGTTTTCCAAACCGTTTATGGTCTCCGGTACTTCCAGTCAAACGCCTACTGCATGCACAGCGTTAGAAATCAATTTTTCTTTCTTCACTGAAAAATCTGCGACCCACTCGAAACGGGTCCGCGACCCAAAAAACCACTGCTCTAGATGTACCGAGGGACAGAGGGATACATGTGGAGTTCTTACCCTTGATTTGAAGGCCAGGAGAATCTTGGGCAAAAAGAGAACAAAGCATTTCAGGCCGATGGTGAAGTACTTGAGGACAAAGTCAGTGATGCCCACGGCCCAGATCAGATCAAAAAACTCAAAGCTGTTCAGGTTGGGCTTGGCAAATATGAGGCTAGAGAAGAAAGGAAAACAACATCTAGGTGAGTTGTAATAGGGAGGTCTGGTGTTTTTCTCTTTGGATGGTGGACTGAAAAGCAACAGAAAGACAAATGCTTAAACGTTCTGGAAACAAAAAAAATGAAATAAAAACAAAATACTCACAGGACAAGAGCAGACAAGAACAGGAACGCTCCCTAAAGGAAGTGAAAGTCAAAATAAAACGGCTTACAGAACACAAAATGAGTGGAAAAACCTAAATGAAATCCAAAACAAAAGATGGCACGCAAAGAAAAACACAGCTATTATTAAAATACCTGCTTGTACAGTACACTACCTGAGGTGCAGCTCCTCTTGACTGAATGTGTAATAAATGTACATTATATTCCCTGCAAGGAACATGATGATCCACAGAGCAACCATTACAGAGCGATCCGCCTGGTAACATAAAAGAAACACACCGCTATTTTAGAAAGATAACAATACATTTCTCCACACTTAGACATTTAAATACCAGTAACTGCAATAATGTCACCTTATTAATATGTTCTTAATGAAAAATAAAAAAAAACAAGACTTAAATACTGATAAACACAAAATCATCAGCCTAAGTGAAGAAAGACTGTATGTGTTAAGGTGAACGATTGTATATTGCTGCTATAAACAAAGAGGTGTAGAGAAAACAATGAGAAGATATAGTGATGCACTTATTATTCAGTATTTAACATGTTAAGCTGAAAAGAACAGATACCGGTTTGTGTGTTGGAATGTCATTCTGCGATTACAGAAAATATGAAAACTGTCAAATCAAAAACATATTAAGATTGAAATACAGTATTTAAATACCAGCAAAACCAACAATGAATGATGAATCAAACCTAGCCTGAAACATTTTATTTCTCGGGCTGAAAATGCATTTAAACCATTAGTTTGCCACTTTGTTTCCAGGTGCACAGCTGTTTTATGAACGCTTACTGAGGAGTAGTTACTAATACTTTTTTTTTTTTTTTTTAAATGTACATCTTCTGTATGTATGATTGGCCTTTGAGTTGTGAATCAAAGACTTGCTACGTATGTCAGAAGGTGTTTAGAGGCAAAATAAAACATTGTAGTTTTTGGTATTTTCTTGGGAAATTTCTTAAGAAATATGAATAAGTCTAGCCTTATCCTTTAATAGACATGTGTCGAAAAACTTAGCGTTAATTTGATCTATGTCTACAGTAAATGTGTATCAGAATTGGCTCAGAAAAAGTAGAGTGTTGGGAATATCTTTAAAACCTGCATCAAACCAGAATTTAGGAAATGTGCGTTTTTTTATACCCGTAATGATACTTGGTGCCTACAAGTGGAATTGGCATAGGCGAAGGTGCTGGCCATGCCCACACACACAGCAATACCTGCAGGAGAGAGGAGCAACATTATAAGACCTTATGCTTCTGATGATTCTTTGATGTTAGTAATGTAAATAATGTGAGCCACACTATTACTCCACATTGCTGGCGTACCTAGCTTATGCTGGAAGCAGACTTTAGCCAGCAGAATGAGGATGAAGGGGAAGCCTCTCTGCAGCCATGTGACCACTGCCTTCAGCTCAGACAGGGCCGGGGCCGGGGTGGAGGGGTCTTCCTGCGCCTCCTCCCTGGAGCTGTGCCTCTCGGAGCCGGCGGCTGTGGTGGCCTGCTGGAGCAGAGAGGAGGTCCTGTGCTGCAGGGGCTGGTGGTGGTGGTGGTAGGGGTGGTGGTGATGGTGGTGGTGGTGCGGAGGTGGCCGAGGGAGGAAAGGTCCACCCTCTGTGCGGTGGGGGCCTCCTTCTTCTCTAGACGACGCAGTCATCTGGATAAAAACTTCAGGGGGAGAGCCCAGGACTAAACCGGCTGCCTGGAATTGGGCAGAGGAGACGGAGCCGGAAGAGACACCCACAAGGCCGGAGAAGATCTGCTGGGGGGAAGCGGGTGAGTCGGGTTTCAGGCAGTCAAACACACCACCCTCATCCAGGCTGCTGTCTGATCCCAGAGTTTGGCTTCGGCTCCTGGGTGGGAAAAAGGTACATTAAGTGAGGATGTGACTTTTCTGCTAAGCAGGGGCGGATCAACAGGGGGCAAGGGGGGGCAGCTGCCCCCCTAACTTTTGTGTCCCTAAAACTGTAGTTGTAGAAACAAACCTACACTATGTCCACAAGCTTCTTAAGCAACAAAACAAGCAGTTCATTAATTAAAAGTGAATCATTTTAAATATAATTTTAGGTCCGTTAAAAACGTAGCTATGGCCCTGCATTAAACTATGGAGCGGCGTTCACAGTCCGCGGCTCACACAGCTGCAGAGAGGGAGCGAGCTGTCCCAGCACCTGAAGGTGGATCAGAGCATTTCCCCTTCCACTAGTTTTGTTTTTACTAAGGACGAGAGCTTGAAAAAAAATATTAATAAAACGCTGCCGTTTGAATCGACAGCTTTTAAAAGACGGTTGATGTTTGGGACGTCACGTTACAAAATACTACACAGACAGCGCTAAATCCACGAAAATTACACATCAAAACAATGAGGCCAGATCAATGAAACCAGGATACATCCTTTACCATCAAACTGGATCTAAACTGATTTAATATTTATTATGTGCTACTTATTAGCTACATGACCCTAACGTGTAAAGTTATACAAGCATTTGCAGGCCAGAGTAGCTGGAGTGATTCAACAACAACACAAAGACATTTCTGAGAAGTGATCAGGATGAGTAGAAAGAGGAAAAGGAAAAGACAGTACACTGAAGAGACCAGGAGGCTCAGAGCAGGAGAAAGCCAGGAAGAGATGAAGAGACCAGGAGGGTCAGAGCAGGAGGAAGAGGAGGAGATGAAGACATTAGTGAAGAAGAATACATGTATGTGAGGAATAAAGATGAAGTGTCAGAAAGATGGACAGAGGCAGGGATCAGGAGGCAGATGAGACTCCAGCTGGACCACATGGTATGTTTATATTTTCCTTGCATACATATTCCATTACAGCAGCACAATCTAACAGTTCTTAGTATTGAGAAATATTTATTGAAATGTGTTGCTGCACAGGTCACCTTTAGCTTTCTTAAGAGATGGGTGATGTCATTTGTTTACTTAATTATAACTTAAAAATGATAAAAGTACTTTTGCTGTACTTACAGTAAACTGAATTCTAGGGTATCATGAGTATTTTCTGCTGTTTTATACTATATTTTAGTTTGTTTGTCTGAACACCTTGTTTCTCTTGTGCATTAAGAACACTTGTGTTAGGGCATGATTTAACAATAAATTATATATATATATATATATATATATATAGTATAAAATACCACACACTGTACGCCCTCCCATGACCTCTTGCCCCCCCCTTTGCCACCCCATGTAAAATGTTTCTAGAACCGCCACTGCTGCTTAGGTTTGTGACCAAATCACAAATCCATTGAAGGGTGCTTTGATCAATAATAGAGCTTGGCCTCCACCTTGGAAGCACACTCTTGTTTAATATATGATTTTAAGCATAATTATTAGGATAACCCTTGACGGGAACAAAGAGGCCTTGCCAAAACCATTAATAAACAGCTCTAAGCTGAATGCATGTCGAGGGGGGGAGGCAACATGCATTTGGATGTGTATTTGGGAAAACATATAACTAATTAAAGGTTTCTTGGATTCTTCCCACCTTTCAGGGGGCATGCCATCCGTGTTGCTGCTGTGTCTCCTCTGCATGGCATCACCACATGGCCCAGCCCTGCAATGAAAATCAACATCATCTGTGAGACTGACAGAGAGGCAGGGTGTGAACGTATACATTCAGCTATTCTGCTTATTGTGTGTCTCATTCGTTATACAGTAAACTGAATAACAATATAGACGACATTACCTGAATTAGCACAGTGAATTTCCCCTCAGCTCTTGACATATTTAGTGTCAGGTTTGCTAAGTTGATGATGCTGCTGCTGCAGAAGATGCTCCGACCGTCCAGCTCTAGCTACAAAAAACTTCCGGTATGGCGTCATCGACGTCGCTTATCTACCCAATCAGCGTCCTCCTACCAATCACATCACATCCGCGTTGGAAATTTGTTTTGCAGATGGTGGTTGTCAGATTCTGCTGGATAAACATCACCGTTGGTGCTTGTTTGAAGTAATGTTGGACATTACAGAAGTGTTTTCTTCAAAGGAGGGGAAACTGCGTCACTAGGCTGCATACAAGCTTATTAGTATTTGTTTTTATCAGCAGTGCCTGGCTTATCCAGGACAGAAAGCTAGTGCTAACAGCAGCTAGCTAGCAGACTAACAAAGCAGGCTTTAATGATGAAACACCGTTAACTTGCCTGCATGTCCAACAGTTGACAGTTTTAGCTGTGTCCGAGCATATTTCCTACTTACAGCTATTGCCCGTGTAGCGTAATTATCGCTAAGCCTGCAACATGGGTTAGCTAACTCTTCTTGACACTAATAATAAAACGACTTTTCTCTTGGTGTATTTATCACATTTGCTGTCTGATAAAGCTAACAAACGTCAGTAAACAGATACAGTTTTACTCGGTTATATAGTGTTTGAGCGAGTTTCATCACGTATGCACACATCGTTACATATTCCTGAGAAAAAACGTCAGTCAGGGAGTTGATGCTCCCGGAGGGTTGATGTTTTGGACTGTCACTGTCACCGGACTCCCCCCTAAGAAAGCCATGCTATGATGGTGCTACGGCGGCTACTGAGGAAGCGATGGGTGCTGGGAGTAGTCTTCGGACTGTCTCTCATCTACTTTCTCACCAGCACTCTCAAACAGGTACAGACACTACACTAACACTAAAGCTAATTGGTCCTGGGTACATGTGATTTGTTGATGAAATATCCAGATGGAGGTGTCTTTTTTCTTTTGCACAATAGAAAAAGTCTCCTGAAAGATCAAGGTGCTCTTGCACATTGGTGCAGTCATCCTGTACATGCAATATTGCCTTAAATTAGTCCTGCTTAATATATCATTGTATTGTCTCAATGGCTTTATATACTTAATATTGAGTGACACAAGGACACTGGATAGGAGAGGACAATCTGCTTTACCTCATGAACTGTTGCCATTACATTTTATACAGCCCCTAAAACCTATTTAAGTAAATTGTTTTGTCTGATCAATAAGATAAAACCCAAAGATATTCAGTTTACTATCACAGTTGTTTTTTTTAAACAGCCGCAAGTTGACAAGTTGTAACTAGTGAATGTTCTGCATGTTTGCTTAAAGATTAAGAGATTATATTATCTCTGTTTTGATTCTCTATTGACTTACCTAATTGGCTCAGCTCTATCTGATATAAGTCTTACATTTCCGACTTTAAGTCCACTTATTGAGGCAAAAGTCTGCTGCTTAAGACACTGTCTAACATGTGGGATCTTCTTCTTTTCAATAAAAAAATGAATTTTGAGACATTTGAAGTACTCCAACTAATGTCAAAATCAACAGTTTTAATGTCAGCAGCATTATTTCCAAAAATGTCAATTTCTAGTCCTCTTGCATTTTCTCACTTCAAATCTTATCATATTGTCTGACCCTTATTCCAAACTGTGTTAAGTTGGTGTTTAATGGCATTTCATGACCCTGTGTGTATTTTGCAGGAGGAGCGGACCATTCGGGACCGCACGCTCTTAGAGGTCAGAGATCCAGACCATCGCATCCCATGGAAAGTCCGTTTTAACTTGGGCAACAGCAGCCGACAGATCACTCAGTGCAGGAACTCCATCCAGGGCAAGGCGCTGCTCACAGACGAACTTGGTGAGTAATGCAGCAGCTACCACTAAACCTGATAACATCGCGGCTCGGTGAGACCATTTCGTTTTCTCTAATCAATATCTATGCTTATCTTATATGTTTTACAGGATACGTCTGTGAGAGAATAGACTTGCTAGTGAACGGCTGCTGTAACGTCAATGCGCCCAGCTCCAGGCAGTACATCTGTAAGAGCTGCCTGGCCAACGGCTGCTGTAGCGTCTATGAGTATTGCGTGTCTTGCTGCCTCCAGCCTGATAAGGTAATCTGTCCCATCAAGGGTGCTCAGGGGCCTGGGTTATGACTGTCATTTAAAAAAAGTCCAAATGCTGCATCTTGCAAAACGTCTGCATGATCATAAAGTGCACATTTTTAGATACTTTAGCCCTCAATATTTACCAAAGAAAGAAACAGGTTAAACAGATTTGACTTATTCTCACCCTCTTATCTGTGTGCTCGTCTTCAGCAACCTCTCCTTGAGCGCTTCCTGAATCGTGCAGCTGAAGGTTTCCAGAATCTCTTCACCGCCGTGGAGGATCATTTCGAACTTTGCCTGGCCAAGTGCAGGACCTCTTCACAAGTATGTTATGAGACCAACAGCAATGAAAATGTCCAAGTCTGACAGAGCACAATCCTATCTTTATATAAACACAGACATTTGCCTGAAATCTTCCATTTGAGTTGTTTTTACTCTAAGCATAATTTGTGAACATTTCTCACAGATACACAACCTTTGAAGATGCACTGATAAGTCAACATTTCACAAATACTGTTTACTGTATATTGGTTTTCTTGGGACAGTAAAAGCTAGAAAAAAGATATACGCTACACTTTCCTACATGTTTAACTATGATTCATTGAATGAGGATTTTAAATACATTTTTATTTTCCTCTTTATAAATATTATTATTTTTGATTGATATCATACATAGATTCTTAAGAGATAGAAAATACACATTTAAATCCATTCAATCCTCTTGACATTTGCTCTTCCTGACATAAATTGCTTACAAAATCTAAATTTTAAACGTTTTCTTATTTTTATTGTCGATCTCTTTCGATAAGAGGATCAAACAAACTCCTCAAATCATGGTTTTATCGTTACTCGAGCTTAATAAATGTTGTTATCTATGAAATTCCTGATTCATCAAAAATGTTATATTTTAAGTTAACCCTACTTTTCTTTATAATTATATTAAATGAATTCATTAAGCTGTCTAATCTTTTTCCCTCTCATTTAGAGTGTTCAGCATGAGAACACTTATCGAAACCCTCAAGCAAAGTACTGCTACGGAGAGAGTCCTCCAGAGCTCCTTCCTGTCTGAGCATTTTACTTCCTTCTCAAGTTAAGCAAGTTCAGAGCGTCCCTGTTTGGACTCCCCAAGGTGCTTGGAGAAGAGACTCAGCAAATGAACTGCCTTCTTGGACAAGTTTTGCATTATTGGGACAAAGAAATGGAAACCTCCAAGGCCGACCCCATAATGGACAAATGCTGTATGTGATTTGATTATTTACACTTCATAAGTGCATAGAATGCTTCATTCATTCATCCGTGATGATCATCAGGTCTACGTAGCAGGCAGCTCCTCCATCAGGATTCACTTCAAACCGGTTCATGTCATCATCATAGTTTTCATTTTTTTTAAAGTAAGATCTGGTTCATGTTTTGTTGAATCATAACAACAGAAAATAATGTGTCATTACTTTTGTGTGTAGTGCATGCATATGAAACTGCTATTTAATAAAAGTGACTGTGAAATGAAATGGGTTCTCAGTTCTGCTTTTTATAAATGGTGGCATTTTGAATGTTCCTGTTACTGGTCCAATTAGCAGTTCAATACTAGAGTTCCCTAGAGTTAGTACTTTATCAAAATAAAGAATATACTATAATGAAACGACCAAAGGCTCAAAGACAATGTATGAGTTTAACTTAATTCTCCACCCATGACCATTTGCAATCAATTTACTAAATAACCCCATGTTACCTTTATATTCTTGAAGAAAACGTTTTCTTGGACGCCTCATGGTGAACAAAGAAAAAAGGGCCGCGCGAACATGGCCCGTTATTAATTCAACACTACATTTTCATAAACAGGAATCTGATAAAATAGGGTGATTCATAAACTAATTACCATTGTGTGGGTAAAGTATGTAGTGCTTGAGATCAAGACTTGTGCTCATTTAATTTGCCGAACCGAAAATACAAGGAAAACCATTTCAAAAGCTGTTTGTTTAAAACACTTTGTTAACTTGCGGCATCAAGACTGTTTTGAAGCTCATTCAGAGCCACTAAACATTGGAACATTTTAATCTATATTAATTGATGTCTTAATTTGGGGATGGCGAAGCCCACATCAATCTCTGTTACACTGTTGTTGTTCTGTAGCTTTGCTTTGATGGGAGTTTGACAGACTTATCTGCTCTACTGCCCACTGTCCATCTGTCCACACATTTCAATACAGTGATTGGAAATGGGTTGTGCTCTCTGAAGGTGATTCCTATCAGCTTCGCTCTCTACCTCAGGCGACCCAGCCTGCTCACAAGGGATGGACGGCCAGAGCAAAACAATTAATCATTGTGGAGGCTGAGAAAACAAACTGTCGTAATTAAGAAATGAATTAGGCCCCTTTTAATTTGCCTCTTTGGCAAGTTGATTAATGACAGTCACATGGGAATTATGTCAGCTGCTGAGAAGTAGCAAGTTTATTTGAACAAAGCCATAATTCACATTTTGGAAAATACTTTATTTTATCTACCTGTGATTTAATTAGTATTTTGATATACTACATTTGTACGAAATTCATGAATTCATTCAAACTCAATATAAAAACTGCCACATTTCAAATGTCCCAAATGCATTAAAAAAACAAGTTGTTTACATTACAAATAAACATAAAAAAGTATTTCAAAAGTCCTTAACTATTATAAAAAGCTGCCATAGACTAACTGTTTCTGCATAACCAACAGAAACTACAAGAGGTACCCGCTGCCCTCCAGGTACTTCTGAGGAGTGGGCTTCTTCTGAAGAGCTTTATGTTGAATCTTATTTTTCCCTTTGACCTTTGAACTCTGTTGCCCAAACTTACACTCCAGCCAGTCCAGATAGGCCCTGGCCGTCATCAGCAGAGTGTGACTCCACTGCTTCTTCTTAAACGCATCCTTGGGCATTTGGGGCGGGGGTGGCTTTAGGGAGCACTCCCCTCCGAGGGTATGCTTTGC